CTTATCGTTCATGCGCGTTCTTACGTTCCTATGTTCTACCTGTACGTTATCACACTTGCTTCTATGCTATCGATAAAGAGCCATTGCTCGAAACGTCTAGCTATTTTTAATAGTTATTTAGGACTACGATTACCAAATATTATCTTCAATATATTGCCAGTATGGTTGAATCAGCCTTATTACATGGCATTCATATATGATATAATACAGTGATTTTAAAAACTAAACAAAAAGTTGATAATGTTTTGAATGATGAGATATTACATTTGACATGGTTATTGTTATTGTAGTGTTCTTGCACTAGTGTTTTATATGGTTGTTATCATGGCAATTACACTGCATGGTACATTGAGCTTGAAGAAGCATTTTTTACCATAAATGACAGAAATATTCACTGAAAAATTGAGAATATTGTGACAAAGTGAAGAAATGTGACGGTGGTCCAAGCATCAAAGCAATTAAGCTGGTAGTTTTCAAGAAGAAGTCCTAAATGAAATTGTTCATGGATGATGGATGGACGGATGATGAATGGCGGATGGATGACTGATGACAAACACCTATACTATCAGTTCTGCTCTGCTATCTTGGATTATAGTGGAGTTTTAAACTTACCTAGTATAATATGTAAAGTTGACGTCACTGGATCACTGGTGCCCACTGTACTGTGAACAATTGTATCTGTTGATCCTATGATCCAAATAAATATTAATTAGCATATCTGAATTTATTTTATTATAAACAGCGACACAACTAATTTATTTACCAAAGGCTCAAAGAATCAAAATGTAAACCTAAGCTGAACCACAAAATTAACGATGAAAGCCTTGTTAGTACATGTATGACATTTTTCATTCAAATTTACGTTTTTTATTTTCCAAATCTGCATTCAGCCTCCATTGTGTACAATAGTTATCTCATCTCACTTGGAACATATCAAAACATGGGTCCAAATCACACAAAAATTAGAATATTTAATAGCTTTGTTTTGAATTTGAACAGCTACACCTCTATTATTCTGCCCATGGCACTTCGCAAAAAGCTTTAATTGGGGTCACCTTTGTTCTAGGTCAAATATATAGTCAGAATGGGCATTTAAAGAGGAACCAATACTATAAATAGGGGTAAGATTGCCACCGCATTTAGTATGCTATCCAAACAAAGCCGCTCACATTGTGGCGGGAGCTCCGGGAAATGTGTCATTTACAATATTTAGAGATCAAGCTGCGATTCCAAATACATTTCTACAGGGGCATGAATATGTAGCTAGTGATTACACTGGTCTGGTTGGGCTTTTGATGTATAAAAATTGTTGTTTTCAGCTGAAAAGTGACGCAACAAGTAAAAATCACGAGTTTAAAATGCCGGCTAATGTATGCAAAATGCCTGTCGATCACAGTTTGAGTAAACGAAAATGTAAATCCCCTAGATGTTTATTCAGTCTACAAAGCTTGTTGGTTTACAAACAGCATTATCGTTACGCAGTTTGTCTAACCATCGGTAATATTGGCATATGACGATGTAAGACAGCGATGTTTGAAACCAAAGACCAGTGGAGAGAGGGGTTTGGGCCAGACTCATAACTCAACTAACTACTAGTATATGCTACCTAAAATTACAATTCATTTGAATAAGTTATACATACATGTAATATCGTTTCTTTTAATATAATATGTAATATAATGTGCAATAATAATAAACAACATGATCGAGAGACAGAAAGAAAATAAGATCAGTTTGATTTTTTATTTTATCTATCAAAACAAAATTGCAAATGACTCAACAAGATGAACATAGAACAGGAAATAATACGCTGGCAATGGCTAGGACACAATCTTCAAAATCCAACCCAAAACATCATAAGGTAGGCACTCAGCTGGAGCCCACAGGGCAAAAGGAAATGGGCCGTCCAAGAAATACCTGGCGACAGGACCTAGAGGCTGATGTCCGGAGGTTGGGCTATACCTGGAGGGAAGTGGAGCGCCTGGCACAGGACTGGCCTGGTTGGAGAAATCTAGTTGGTGGCCTATGTCCCAGGAAGGATGATATGCATAAGTAAGTAAGTAAGTAAGTAAGTAACAAGACGTCCATTTGTTTTTACTTGCATAACCAGTAGTCACGTTCTATGGCGCCATATATTGAAACAACCTCGATTTTGTAATAATTACAACGCTGTAGATGGGACGTTAAAATTGAGTAAAATGAATTTGACAAAACGCTCTCATCTTTCTAGCCGCTCAATTGATTTTGACTGTACAGTGAACCCCACGTTCACCCGCTAGACCACAATAACTCAAATCTTACACGAGATACAATCCGATACCAACCTTGCACATATAGGCTAGGCTGTACATCATGATAAGTCTGTGATGTCGCGGCGTCCTGTTATTACTCATAATTTTTTATATTTTATCACCAGAATTTCTGTGTAATAACCTCAACTTATTATATATAGTAAACTTTTTCATTGTCGCGTAACTATTTTTTGGATATTAATGGAAATTTTAGGGCAATAGTAAATTCATGTTTTTTTACAGACTTGCAACAGCAATATGAAAACCTTGACCATCCTTGACCAGAGGTATTTTCCCAGTTTTTATATTAGCAGTCTGGAAGAGTAGTGTGTATACGCATAGAGGTGTAAACTGATTTCACTTGGTGCAATCCATGAGATTGAGCAGTTCCCCTTTAAGTTTAAATCTCTTGAGTGGCACAAAATGGCTAACGTATGTATATTAAGTATGCACAAATTACAACCCAAACTAAACATTATGTTGCAACTCAAAATACAGGGTAAGTGAATGAAAACGTTTCTTGACAATAGGTGTATAATATACAAAATTTCTAAACAACAAATCGTATTTTATTACTAAGCTAGCTCGCAATGTAGTGAAAGGTAATGTGACTTACCAGCAGGAATAATACCCACTCTGTGAGATAAGGACACTAATTTAGATTTCTTATCATTGAAGTTAATGCCAGCATCCTTCTGTGCTCTTAATAACAACCCATTTACCACCTCACTAGCCATGCCATCACCACTCACACTAATAACACTGTAATCATGAATTTGGATTGTCAGTAAGAAAAACACAATATTATTTTATGCATGATTTTCTAATGAGTGAACAATAGGAGTGCATACTGCAGAGTGAGCGGTTCTACAGAGGCAATCTTGCAACTACCTAGATGTAGTACTTTTTAAAATGTTTCATCTTATGGAAAATTACCATTGAAATACAGTTCAAATTGGCAAAACACACGACTCCAAAGTCCATAGCAAAACAAGTGATTCCAAGGGTTACAGCTGAGATTTTTCTTACCCATCTATTTTGTGTAACTCTTTTTCTTGTAAAATATCTTTAGCGTGATTTGATCTTTCAGTCACTACAAGAGATCATGAAAATGAAGTCTAAATATATTAACAGTAAACAGAAAAAGCATCAGTATTAGGACCTGCTCTACTTCTGTTTCTCAGCCATATCTTACACTCACCTATGACCTCAGTTACAATTCCAGCCAACTCAAATAATGGAGCAACTTTCTCTCTGTAAATTTTGCATCCTTTTCCCTTGCCACCGACTGGATTGATAAAAACAAGGAGTCTCTGTGGTCTGGATACATCTTCAAAAAATTAAAAAGCATTAACTATTTGTGAGAAATTACTATCAATAGTACTGTTAAAATCCTAATATAAACCGCATACATAATAGTAACCGCACCCCCAATTCCGGCTTTGAAAACATGAAAAGTACCTATTACTAACCGCACCCCCAATTCAACAAGACCATGACTTCATTGTTTCAACCAGCTGTTCCAAAACGGCATTGTTCCTAATCCTATTCATTTGTTCCAACAAAGTGCCTAAAAATATTCACACCTATTTATTGTTCAGTGATGATAAGATGTCAAACACGCAGTGAAACTGCTTTTGTTTTGGCAGCAACCTTTGTCAATACTCCACATGAATACGTCTATGATTCAGAAGTTTTCGGCAATGAGCTGTTATCACCGTAAAAGTGTTAAATTCTTCGTCAATGCTCAGTTTATCTTTCGAAAACAACTAATTTCTTGATTTAAAAAAAATCAATTCGTTTCCCATGGAAATCAATACCAAATATTAAAAAGCAATATTCCTCTGTCAAAAATCGGCCGATCGATGTGAGCTACGAAATAAAGAAATTCGAGTTCAAAATCAAAACGTTTCATTTTTCCGGCAGACGTTCGACGCGCGTTGTTCCATGCAACTCGCGAAATCTCGGAGTTGAACGGAAATTCACCTATCAGAACATGTTGGCACCATCCAGCATTTTGATTGGGTAATTAGCGACTTGACGTATCCGATCAATAAACAGTCTCATGTGGATTCAAAAAACATGGCGGATATAGTATCGCATCGAACGTTTACATGTGACTGAAATCATTCACTTACGATGAAACTAAGTTGAATTTTACTTGCATTTCAAAACAATTCAACGAATTCATTTTTCGTGCGTTATTATAACCACTACTGAATAATAATCAACAATTTCAACACTTCGAAAACAAGAAGGTTATTCACTTGTGAACCGTGGCATGGCCGGATTGCGCTACCATACCATGATCTACTAAGCAATGCATTTGTGTTTGTTTTTATTTGAAACTTCTGTTAGAATATACTTTCCGCTATATTAATGCATATTACATTGAATATACTGAGTAATTATTTTATCATGTGAAGATTTTTTGATTGACTGTAATTTTTCAACATTTCGTGACGCCTATTTTAGAACTAAAGTAAGGCCTTTCACTCTTCCCTGATGCCTGTTCAAGAGATTGTAAGAGATTGTATTGTTTGTTTTGTGCATGTGCTGTGGGGAAAAAATGACCACGCCCATTTAGTGATTGCAATATGTACGTAATAGAAACCGCACCCTGAACTTGAGCTTTTGATCGCAATTTTTAAATTGATACATTGTAATA